TGAAGCTTATGGAAATTGACACATCCAAAATTCACACAAGGAAATATTTTTGCATGTCACATCTAATGAAAAGGTAAATTCATTGCCACAGAATGATATCAAGACCAATAATTTATCAAAATCAACACAACTTCATTGCTTTCTGATCACAGCTGTGCATGCTTTTTATTTTTAGAAACCAGAGGGACGCCCAACTTTTCAAGACTTGCTTCACACAATCATTGACATTGCAGAGGGTGAAGATGCTTACTGAAAATAGCAGCAGCACAAGTACAGGGAAGAAGCTACTTTCCAAAGATGTGGCTTCACCATTTCTTTTTAAAAGAATGACCCTGTAAGCTGCTGGATGCTGCTAAACGACGTGGGGAACTTTGTAACGTCTGATCCGCTCCACAAGGAGTTTTACATGATGTTGAGAAATGAGCACAGTATCTTCAGCAATGCTAGCAGTCTCTATATTTTTCTCTGAAAATGCTGGCAGCACATAGCTTGCAAGTTGAGCTCATTATGGAGGAAGACAGAGAATGTGACCAAACCCCAGGAGCCTAATTTGCATTTAGTGTGTTGGGTTCATCTACATACAGTCCATGTTTCTGAGTTTCTCTTTACACAGGTAGTAGTATTAGTAGTGATTTGCATGCTTAAAAATTGAAGGTATCTATAAATGCCTATTTACTGACATTGAAACGTTTCCAGAGATTCTCCAGAAACATTATTTTTCTCAGTTGATGGGTGTTTTATGACACATCAAGAACAGAAAACGTGCCTCTTTCATTTGCACGTAGTAGGTTGTTAACAGCACAGTCTTCAGTTTAGCATAACACTCAAAAAGCGTTGCTTCAGAACGGAGCTGTGATATACCCCAAGCCATTCTAGGCTGTTTGGTCAACCACAGACCTGCCACGGTTAGTCTTGATCTTACTTGTGAAAACTTAAGTCCAAGACTTGGCACAACTGGCTGTCAGTGTACCATAGTACCTTGTTTTGGATTAATTATAAAATAATTTATATGCTGTATGTATTGTAAATATATAAATTCCATGCATTTATTTATATAAAGTTTGTTTTTCTCTTGAAATTTTCAAGTTTGTCCTACCTTCACTTACATACACAACTTGATACATGGGGTTGTAAATGAAAGAAAGTAAACTGTCCAGGGTGTTTAAGGAGGGCTTCTCTTTCTGTCATCTGTATGTACAGTAATCTAACCTTTCTGTTCTTAACAGGAAATGTCATAGTACATGTGTATGTAAATAAACAATGTTAACTGTTGCTTGGAACCAACTAATATGTTGCCAATAAATTACTGTCAGTGCATCATAAGCCAAACCCTTTGCTCATGTGAGTATGGTGTTATGATGGTCTATGTGTATGTATATCTGTGTGTGTACACACTCTAAATTATATATATAGTAGTATGAATATATATTTAAATTAATTTGGCCATGATGAAATGTTCAGTGCAGAGGTGCCTGAACTCTCTTTAGAAGTTACATGCTCTGTACCCTCTGCTAGAGGCTAATGTCTCCACAGCCTTGGTGAAGCCTGTTTCAATTAATCTAACATTATGCCAGCGAATATGAGAAGTATTTGCACTTCACTTTTGCTGTAGCCATCTCCTGAGTAACTCTATTACGTGGTGTTTTTTTTTTCTTTTGTACTTGTGCTCTTGTGCTATGTGTAATAGAAAATAGGTTGCACAAAAACTTTAAAAAAAGTTTTTTGCAAGTAGGTAGAATATGGTGAAGTTATTTCCAGCCAAATTATTAAAGGTAACTATAGTTAGCTTAATACATTCCATCATTGTTACATTTGAGTATTTCAATTTTGGAGGTGCTTAAATCCCCACACTGCTTTGCCTAAACCTTTATGTTTGAAAGGAGGAAGCCTCTTGTTTCTTGAAAGAAGTACTTTCTTTTTCTCATGCTATCCTATTGAAAAGTTACAGCCTGTCAGAAAAGGTTTAAATGGCTATTTCCTTTTTCATAATGACAAAGTCTCAGAAGATTATCACAACTATGCAAACCAACCAAAGTGTTGAGTCCAAACCACTACCCAGTCGATACCAACAGCATGTATTGTTAAAGGGGAAAATCCAGGGGTTTCTACCTGTAGTAGAAAAAGGGTTGTGGAAGGTCTAAGGTAAGCCAAGCTTGTCTTTCCTTCCCTAACTGTTCCTTTGCACCCCCCTTTCTCAGGGGAGACCCTGCAAAGTATGGTGTTGCCAACACTTAGAACAATACGTCATGAGGAATTCTACAGTAATAAGTAACATTTGCATTAAGACACAAATGAAGCATAGGAAAATCAGGAGATTAATAGTTTCCAATGAACTTTAAGCCTGTTTGTTTACAGTAATTATATATTTATATTAATTTGTTTGATAAAACACACCCTACCTGTGTGGACTTCTGGCAGCAGTTTCCTTGGTGGGGTAGGTGCTTGAATCTGACCCCTTCACCTGTCTCAGTACCTGAGGATAATTTCTGCATACTTGCCCTTGGGTTTGATGATGACTTACGATGTTGGGAACTGTAAAGCACCTAGTTTCTAGATAAATGCACTTTTTTAGTTGAATGTGGCTTTAGATGGCTAATGTTGGAAAGGATCAGAACGCATCTGGAGGCAGCTGTCTTGCTGACTCTCTTGATGTCTTCAAAGGCAGGTTGAGATGATGCATCATCCTTTCTTCTAGATGAGCTCACTCATCCTTAAGCAACTTCAGTTCTCTTTCAAAAACTTTCCCTTTTTTATTATAACAGAATTTTTTTTCAAACGTTGGGGTCAAAAATTCAGCAGAACAGGACCAAATGCTGTGATTTACATCTGCTGTATTTTTAATTTTTTTTTTTTTTTTTAGGAAATACTTAGCCCTACTGATTATGGTTTAATGACTTTTTTTTTTTTTTTCCTGTAAAATATGCATTTGATACTAGAAAGCAGATGCTTTTTTCGCTACTTTTTTTTTTTTTTAACAGATGTGAGATTAGTATCTAAACTATTTGGGGCTTTAAAAAAAAAAAGTAGGTAGGCGGGGTCAAGCAGTATCTGTGTTTTACCATGTTTCATATCAGAGTGAAGGGCTCCACTAGGGCTATTTTACTGGCACAACTGATGAGGAGAGGTTTGCATTTTCATTTGAATATAAGTGGACAACCAGACATGATTCTTTCTACATGTAAGTAAACTGGGCTTCTGTTGGTCTTGCAGTTTTGTTTTGTGCAGCAGCAGTGTACTTAGTAAATAAGCTATTTAAATATTGCCGTGCAAATACAAACCAGCTTTCTTTTGCACTGCTCAGGTGATCGTTGTTCAAACCGCTTGTCTTGCCTTTCAGAATTACTGCAGAAATATGAATCCATTGTATGATGAATTCAGCAAACCAACTACTTTTGCATACAGATAGGGAGATATTTCCACATACTGTCCTTAAAAGCATGTACAGCGTAGGCATGAATAAAAAGTTTGGTAGAACTAGAGTGGTCTTTCCTCCAGAGCAGAATTAACTCACAGAAAAGACAGCCTCAGCATGCACATGTGAAAAGCTGAAAGCTTGTCTTTTTAAAGTATTTTAGAAACAAACTGTACTGTGTCTTTATACTAATTATTGATTTTTCTAGTACTGTTGGAAATGGACAGACATACCAGATCAGGAGGCATGCCATGTGGTACAGCAAAGATCTGGTTTTGATGAGTGAAGCTGAGTTTGTAGTGTTGAACATAGTTAACCTGCTGCCCCACTGCAAGAGCAAGAACTTGCAAAACATCCTAGAAGAGTGCAAGTCTTAGATGTGGACTACAGCCCTAGTAGTGCTTTGAGAAACAGTGAATTGGAAAAAGAAACTCAAGCTAAGAAACCTATGAAATAATAAAATAAAATGCAAATTATAAAAATTAATCTCTAATTTGTTGCTTTTATCTTTGATGCTACTTCCCCAAGGCTGCAAATTAGACTTATAACTGAAGATAAGTTAAGTGAAGATAGGAGGAAAGGTGTGTAAATTGACCACCTGTACAGATGATGTTATCAACCCAAAGCTTACTGCTGGGTGTTGTGGGACTTTATCAGGCCAGTTATTTGCAGCAATGGACCATCTCAAAAGACTTGTGTGTTTTCGCTATGCCTTCTCTGTTTTCATGCGACTATCTTTCAGCTTCTCAAGAAAACATCTGTTCCTGACAGCTGGCCTATCTTTGTTCTTCCTCTAGCATCCTGTATGCCCTGTCGTGCACAGATAAACTTGTTTTCAGGCCTTTAAGTTAGTTATCAAAATGTCAGCTGCAAATTTTTAGGCTGAGTATTTGTCAGGCTAGCTTCAATACTGTTTGACTAGTATTTCCACTTCATCTGCATGCTTCTTTTGCCACAATATCTTTTCTTGTTTCCAAACTGTGCATGCTAAAAGGTCTGATTTCAGACATTGTAATTCAACAGGTTATCATGGCTCTGTGCTAGTGTTAGGATTCATATTTATTAACCTGTCACTAGGGAGATAATATTATACTTCTAAAAATTAATGTCTTCCTCCAAATATAGTCATTTCCAGAAATGACATGAGCAGTGAAATGGGCTATGTTTTTTGTTCCTGTGTTAAACTATTTGTAGAATTGGCTGAACTTTGTCTGAGGTTGCAAGCTTTCATCAGAAATTGGAGAAAATAAATTCTCCACACAATTGGAGAAGGAAGATTTGGCATGTTCTAGATTGAACAACTCAAATACTCATCTTGTTTGATATAAACCTAGGTTTTAAGCTACTGACTTTAATTGCTCCTTGATGAGTTACCCTGAGGATCAAAGCCAAATGTGACAGAACTCAGGGAAATGTGGGCTGAAAAGCCTAGTGGGGCTGTGGATGCTGGAGAAAACCTTCATTCCTGTAGATTTAAAAGAATCAAGATTTGACCACTTTTTTTGGAATTTATGAGAAAAATTTTGTTTAGGTAGGAAACAGAGAAGTGGGACCTGAAAATAATGATAGGTCCATAAGTACCTTATTTTTACAGACTTCAAAAATAATTTACTGTTAAAAATTATGGAATAGTTCCTTCTGTTAGCCTGTATTTCTTTTGTGTCCTGTTTAAGCAGTCTGTCACTCATAACATAGTAAATCCTATTGGTATCTCTGTTCTCTTCAAAATATGGACTTCAAAATGTGATTTCCTTGCTGAAGCACAACTCACACTGATACCATCACTGACTAATTTTTAATTTATGAACTCTTCAGTGTGGGTAATGATTTAGGGACCAAGGGGTCAAGGCCTGCTAACACCCTTTGACAAATCCAGAGTGTTTTGGTTTAGAAGTCCTTGATCCATAACAGGAGGAAGTCAGATAGAGTAGTTCCATTAATTTCTGTGATTTCAGTTAGGGCATAGCAGGAAGAAGAAATATGTAAAATTAGTAGATTGTAAGAATCAATTTTCAATTTTGTATTTGCATTTAAAAAGCCAGATTTTTTTTTTTTTTTTGCATTGAAATGCGAGGTTTTAAAAATTATTATTTCTCAGTTTGCCTGATAGCTGTTGAATAGAAGAAAAGAGAAAGGAAGGAAGAGCCCAAGTCACAGAAGGATGTGTGTAGCTGTGAGAAGCTTCAGGCAGGAAATGCAGGCTTCCTGCAATGCTGCAGTGAGCATTGCTGTGGCACCTGGAGGCAGCCCTGCCCTCAGTGTAAAAATCTTCCTCAGTTGCTAGCAGAAGGACAAGATGTGAGCCAGCTAATCAAGTTATTCAGTGTATCAAAGCTTTCACTATTTGCAGTGTTGGCCAAGTCTTTCTAAAACAGCATTGCAGAGCAGCTTTGAGCCTTTCTGTAGTGAGTTATGAACTCAAAAATATTATTTTAATCAAAGGGAGAAAAAGTGTTGTGCAAGAAACTTACCAACGACTAGTGAGGATGTAAAATACACAGGTCTTTGTTTGAGATGCTGAAATTACAGTCCATCAGTCAAAACTTCCTGACTGAAGTCAATTTAACTAAAGCAGGACTTAGCTCCACAGAACTGAAGGCCTTTCTCTAGTTTGCAATGCATAAATTTGCACTTGTATTGATTTCTACTGAATTTATTCCGTAAGTGCATGGACAAAAGAATTTCAGAAGCGACAAGGTTGCCAAGAAGAGATGTGTAAAGACAGGTTTGTTTTTAAAGAGCTGGAAATGATGACAGGATGGTAAGTAACTGCTGGATTGATAGGCCATGATTTGACACTTAAAATACTTCAATAAGGAAAATGACAAGAACCAAACTTTGTAGAACTGTGCAAATTTTGTGCTGGTCTTCTGGACCCAGCAATTCAGTTCAGCATGGGCTTATCTGGCTCATGGCCTTAGTCTAATCTGAGCCTTCACTTTAGCCTGCAGAACTTGGTCATATTTTGTGATCTTTAGTAGGTTAGACATGCTACCCTTGGAAAAAATCTCTCACCAAATGAAGCACATGTCCCAGGAAGCATCATAATTACAGCTTTAACTTACACCTTTTCTGTGGTTTTATGGACAGAACAAGAGACTAAATATTTAATATTGAATATGCTTGGGATATTTTTAAAAGCATCATGTACATTCATTTATTTCTAATTGCTTTTAACACAATAAAGTTGGGGGTCAAACACAAAAGGCATCCATTAACGGAGCAAGTCTGAAATTCACTGAAGGCAAAAAGGAATCCTGAGCTTACATTATAAATATACTCAAATCACTGGACTCATAAAGAAAAGCAAGACAGAATTACATGTCCGTAACATCCGTATGAACCCCTCGCTTTCATGGTAACTGCCACATATTTAAAATCTTATTAGAAGACCATCCTAGTGTTACATTGAAATTCCGCAGTGCTGCTTCTAAATATTTCTGGTAAGGGTTCTATAAGAAGAGCAGATTATCTAATGAGGAATAATGTGTTTAATTAGATTAGATGGCTTAATCAGAAGAAACAGACAAGCTTTCAAATGTCATATTCCTTTTTGCACATCACTAAATACCTTATAAACATTGTTTAAATTTCATGCCACTGGCTAAAGTAAAAGAAACCCAAGAATTTTTTCACCCACGATGTTCACTGTTTATGACGTACGGTTTTGAACAGCTGAGGGACAGTTCAATATACACTGGGAAATTATGCAGCAAATAAATTGCATTGCCCATATCTTTTTAGCCTGTTTTTTCTTTTTCTTTTCTTTTTTTTTTTTTTTTTAAAGAAATTGTCAGTGTCAGCTGGCTTGAGTATTTGTAATTGCTGCATTTTGCATAGCTGTCAGTGGAAACTTGTATCAAACAGTTGATAGTGTCTTCTGGTTAATGTAGGCTCACCAGCTTCCCACATGATAGGTTCTTCACAGGATGCAACCATCTAAGGGAAATTGCCCCATGACTTTCAAGATAAATAGTTTAACCAGAACACTCATGAGACAAGTCTCTTCCTCTTACTTCTAAGAAGTAGTTTTGGTCTTATCGTTCTGATATCTGACATTCTCCCTTCTTTTATTAGTGCAAGATTTGCTAAATTATGTACCTTCATAGAGAAAATAATTACATTTTCATTGTGTAGTAATGTTGCTTAATGTTTTGAGTGCATGCTCTCTGCACACTTGGCTGAAACATCAGTATCAGGCATTGGCAAAAAGTCTCACAGGACCCCAGAAGGGACGTCCTATTTATTCCAGGCTGGATTAGATCATTAGGATCAACAAGCAAGAAATGCCATGAGGGAAATACAAATGAAGTGGAAGGGACTGGTGGTACTGGACAAAGAAATATAATGTGAAATATAAAGTAGCAAAATACTGAGACCTTGAGAAGCCTAATTCAAATAATTTTCTGAGGTCTCTTTTAATGCTATGACCTCTGTGGTGGAGAAAAATGGGGCACAGTGGAGTAGCTATAAAGCTTATTTTCTGTCAGTGCAGCTGAATATGAGGGGAGCCTTGTCCCTGCATGCCTGGCTCTTGTGCTTCTGAAGAGACCATACATCGCACCCAACAGCTTAAGCCTGTCCTGCTGGTGCTGCTGCCCTCCCATCCAGCCACCAGCGATGCATGATGGTGAGATGGTTCAGGGAGTGGACCCAGCAGAGAGTGGTTCCCTGCCGATTTAGCATCCTGTCTCGCTTAGTTGGAGATGAGATGAACAACGGTGCAAAGGGAAAGGGAACAACACCATAGCTGCCACAGCTCGGCTCAAACTGCCATGGGAACATGAATTGGTGAATGTAGGTCTCAGCCTGAGTAGAAGTGGACCAGAGCAGATGTCAACCGTTTATTTACCTCGTTCAAATCTTCTTAATGCCTTCTGACCTACTTAATACCATATCCTCTCTGCTGCTCATACAAGATATATCGAATTGATTTCTCTCTAAATGTATGATGTATGTGATGATGGTCCAATGTATTTTTCTCAGGATTATCAACTACTCGGCACATAAGTGAAAAGCACATCTTTTGTTAGCACTTTAAACCTGGGCTAATGCATATATTATATTAATGGCTGCAACAGAAACAGGAAAATCAGTATTAATTCAAAAAACTGAATGTAGTGTGTCTTCTTTAATAAACTTCACAATAAGAAAATACTTGTCATGCAAGTGTGGTTTTGTATTTGGTTTGAATGGTCTAAAAATTATGTCAGTGCTGAAGGGGACAGCTCTGCACCTCCTGTCCCTGACGGTGTTCTCATCCCCTTGGTTGCACTGGTTAGAGCTTGTATGGAGTGGTGTGATCAGTCAGATCAGTACTGATCTGGCTGACAAGGTCTCTTTATTTTTGCTGACTTAGGGAGCTGGTTTAACTCACCACATGGCCTCATAATGGCTAAGACATTTTAAGGGAGACAGTGGGAACAAACAGGTAGGGTGGTGGGAAAGATCTGCTGTCTTTGGTGGGTGCATATTCAGCTTTAATGATTTGCTAGATATCTCACAGCAAGACAGAGCTAACACTGGGGTTAAGCATAAGATAGACCTTAATTCTGAAAGTTTGTGAACAAACAGGAATACTGCAAATATGGAAAATGTTCTTGTTCACAGATCACACCATCCAGTCTGTTTTCTGCTGCTGCTGCTGCTGCACAGTGCAAAAAAGGTATGTGAAATGTCTAAGATTTTCGGCAATTAGGATGATCAAAACTTCTACACATAAAGGACTTATCAAAATCCCTCTATTTTCAGTAGAACTTCTAGTTATACAGGAGTTGAAAGACACTCTAGCCTGCATATCCCCAATGAAGGAAGGCATATATAGCCATGAATGCTTTCATGTGATTATTTATAGATATATATTCACACAAATACTTTGTGTTTCTCAAAATCAGAGCAATGAGAACAAAAATGAACCTGGACTCTGATACTGGCCTAGTGACCCAATACTCAACCTCACAACCAGCTGTTTCCTATGCATCTACTTGGAAGTGCAGGGTAAGTAACATTTTGGCAGGTGAAAAGAGGGAATTGAGGTGATATACCATAGCAGAACAAGCAGAGGAGTAACTAACTGTTGAGCACCTAAGATTCTTCGTTGCTTAAAAATGATAGAGTAAAGGTATCCAAAGATTCATGCTAATGTACATACAGGGTCACAATGAGGTTTCCCAAGCTTGCTGTCATGGGCAAGGTGGTTCCTTCTTTTGGGTTTGGGTGATGGAGATGGGAAGGGTGGGACTGCCCTGTTGGGCAGATGCAAGCTCATCTTTCTCAGCTGGCATGTGAAGCGTCCACCTCACTTCTACTAGATCTAAATTGAATTAATCTGAGTTTTCAAAGCATAACTGAGTGCAAAGCTAGAACCTAACCTGATGCAAAAGAAAATTATTATGTTCCTGATGATTTGCTAAGAAAATGCAGCACTCTCCGTGCTAATTCTCCAGACAAATGACAAAATTTCCAGACATATTGTAACTCCACTAACTTCGATGCTGCTCTGCTTTTACACCAGCTGAGGGGTTGTCCCAGCGCTCATACCACGTAGAAGTAACCCTGCTTAGGTAGATGGCTTGTTTATTATTCACTGTACTTTCCATTGTCATTATGGCTTACTATATTAAATTACTCAAATGTAAGTCTCGCTGTTCTACAAGTGATGAGGTGATAGTACTTTACAAGGGGAAGTAATGACCGTGATGAGTTCCTTTCAGTTACTGACATGGTCTAATAGCAGGGATTAAGCAAGCAATACTAGGGAGAAAAGACTAATTATGAAAGACACTTTTTTTTCACTAGCATAAGAGGCAATTGCAGTTAAAGAACAAGCCATTACCTCCTCTACCTGCTGAGGCTGTGGAAGACTACACAAAAAACCCCAGAGTTATTGCACTCTATGACTTTTTTGCTAGAGGACCCTTGGATTTACCGCTCAAGAAGTCAGAAGAATACATTATCCTTGAACAGTATGATCCCCACTGGTGGAAAGCAAGAGACCAGCATGGGTAAGAGAGTGGGCATCTGTTTCAATCTCCCTACACAGAAAGAAAAAGCCTAAAACAACCCCTGTGAAAGTGGGCAGGTTGAACAAGACATGTGACAATTTAGGGGCAGGTTTGAAAGTGTTCAGCTATGTACAAGGCACATGGATTGAATGGGCAGACTTTCAGCAGTTTGGCACCCCAGAAATGAGTGGGGAATCTAGAATCTGTTGGGAATTCAGAGTTAAGCCCTAGATTTGGTAATTTCCTGAGCAACCTAAGGGCATTTGAGTACCATGTGAATTACTGGGCTCTGAGTCATGTGCAAATGTAGCTTTCCATACTTCAGGTGCTTTACAATGCAGTGTGTATGTGTAAACACTTCATAAAGACCATAGAGATGATTAAGACATGTGCCTGAAACAAAATCTCTGATCCAAAATTCCTGGATGTTTTAGAGAGCTAGATAACTTTCGTTAGGATCCTTTGCACGTTTACCTTTTTTTCATGTCATTCCTCTTTCTCCTTTGTATTTTCTTCAGTGTATCCTGTACTCTGCTGTTGAGAATGGCTATATGTTGTGTAATGGCTGTCTCCTTTTTATTCAGCTTTCTCCTTTAAATATTTTAAAATTATTTTTCTCTGCTCATATTTGCAGCAAGTACACTGATTATTATTTTGTATATACATGCAAGCACACCCTTTATTCTTCTTCATATAAAAGCTTTGTATAGGCCAGAAACGAAGAGGGTGGCTTCTGATTCAGAAGAAATATACAACTTTTTTCTAAATTTTCTTTTTATTTGGCTTGAAGATTTTCATTAACATGCTGCTGTCAGCAGTCTGTCCCAGCTGACTTTCATTTCAGTAGCCATGCACATTTGTGGGGCAGAAAGATTGTGCTTGGGGTGAAAAGATTCAGACTTCCATTCAGTTCCCACGCTGGGATTCAGTATCTAATGATATAGCCAATAGCATAAGGGACCTTTGTAATTCAGTAAAAGGAAGACGTGTACCTTAATCCTATTATTATTTTACACCATACTATAACATTATCCCCAACATGTTGTTTCAGGAACGAAGGTCTAATTCCCAGCAACTACGTTACTGAGAACAAGAAAAGTAATTTAGAAACATATGAGTAAGTACTCTTGAAAATTATAATTGTGCTTTCTTTTCTAAAAATGGTTCGTGGTGATACATTTTAGTGCTTGATCTTTCAATCTTTAGTGGATGTGAACAGGTGTTTATCAAAACCTTTCTTTTTTTATGTTACAAAACATTACTCTTAAAATGAATTAACCATTCTGATTTGGAACTATTTGCTCAGAGTGTGTAACGTGAAGTTACAAACACTGAGCACTTCAACAACATTCATTTGCATAAATCGTAATGTCAGAATCCAGATGTTTCCTATTTCTGTAGGCTCACTACATAACATCTCTATATTCTGATCGCCTCCTGTTGTAAGCATGTAATTAATTGACTAGAAGCTAATTCAAATTACTTCAACTTAATTTACTGGAGAGAAGAGTAAAATTCGTAAAATTCTAGAGAAGAGAGCTTGGTACATCGCCCAGGACTGTAAATTTCATCACAGTTAGGCGTAACTGTTTCCTGGGCTTGCTTTTGTTTGAGCTCATATTTTATCACAGTGAGTGGGGAAAAAGGTTGTCACATTTACAATGGCCTGATAAAGTCATTCTGAATTAAGACATGTTTATATACGACGATGGTTCCATTCAGGTTTTTGGACTGGGAATAGTGCAAATATTAAAATGGATTACTTTTGTGAAACAGAGCAAACATTAATTTTTACTGGCTGAAATTAAAGGGTAGGTCATTTCCTTGTTGCAGGTGGTACTGCAAAAACATAAACAGAAGCCAGGCAGAACTTCTCTTGCGCCAGAAGGTAACTCAGCTTATACATAGAGCTAAGGATATCTAGAAAGATCTGTCAGTAGAGGCATCAAGACCGTTACCACAGTCAAATCCAAATCTGTTTGGTATGCAGTAAGAAAGTATGTGCTTTAAAATTAAAATGTTTCTAGGGTAAGCGTACAGTGCAGACTATCCAGACTTCACAGAGTTTTAACTTGTAGCCCCAGCAAATTCTGTGTAGATTTTCCATACTAGATAAATTGAATTACATGCAGTTTACTGTGTTTGTCTTTTGTATGAAATGTTGAAGACTGAAAAACTTATAGTAAGTAAATTAGCGAGGTTAGCAGAGCTTAAAACCCCTGCATCTTCCTTATGAATAGAGCAAACATTCCATATTGCGTTTTACCCCCTCTCAATTACCAAAGGGCCTAACTCATTAGGTCTTTGCTCAAGGACTATCGCATGGCTTGGACAAGACAGACTGGAGAAGAACATCTCAGATAGAACTGTTTTACAGTATTTTTTCTAGTGATTTGTACAACTTGGTTTTTTAATAAATCAAAGCATTTTCACTACTTCACACTGAAGAGTATGATTCACCTAAATTATTCAACTCCAAGAAATTGCCTGCCACTTATTACCTTCCTGTGGTTACTTTTGCTCTGCTATGTACCTGGCTATCAATTCCCATTCTCCACTGCTTTATCCCCCTCCCAAATAGTCATAGGTATTCCACCGAATTGGGTAATCAGCTGCAAGTCCTATCTCAAGGGAGGATTATTCAAGCTCAAAAGCAGAAAATAACTCTACTTGGATTTCTTTTCAGTCCAAAGAAGGCGCATTTGTTGTCAGAGATTCAAGCCAACAGGGACTCCTTACACTGTCCATGTATTCGCAGGCTAAAGGGTGAGTTGTTCTGAATGGTTAGGGTTTGAATCAAGAGGGGATGGAAGAGCTTACCCCAAAATCCTCAGGATAAGTGGGGAGGTTGGACACACAGTGCACAGAGCAGGGAACCACCCTGTGTGCAGAAAAGATGATGGTGGGCAGTGGATCTGGGAGTCAGAGTGCAAATATCCTGCCAAGACAAGATTAACTGCACTCATTGAAATCCTCAAATAATCTGCTGTGAAAGCTGTGCATCCCACCCATGTAATGCAGACAATAAGATCTTACATTCGCATCCTCTTGCCTGCTTTTCTGCATGAAGTGCCATGGCTACCACCATCACACCACGACAGCCTTCAGCCACCACACCAAACTGCTTCCCTTCTCCACAGGCTCTGCGCACTGTAAATTCATCCCAGACTCTCACCTCCTCGCTGTGCAGTCTTACTTCTTTTGCTGGGGGACTGCCACAGGACTGACTTTTCCCCCACATCAGTAGCAATCACCCACAGCACTGACCTATCCCATCCCAAGCTGCCTTGTATCCCCCTCTCTCAGCCTTCCTACATCCTCCTGCATCAGCGGTATCTGCTTTCCTTTTCTCCCTCTTAGAGGAAGCCAGAGGTGAGAGAAGCAAGGCAAAGGCATTGGTGCTACCACCATTCTCCTCTTCCTCCCTCCCTCCTCTCCTGGGAAACGTAGCGGGAGCCCACTCCACCACTCCTGTGCTGGGCACAGGCTCATGGTTATGGTAGGGTACCAATCTTCAGCAACCACCTCCAGCCTGAAATGCAAACTACTTCATTTTGAGTCTCACGGAAAGCAGGGATAGATGGGCAGCAAAATATACAGAAATCAAGAAAGGTGGATAATGTGGAGAAATACAGAAAAGAAAATGTATCAAATAAAAGCTGCGGTGAGGATCCTTTGGAGAAGAATAACAGAAAATTTAATCTCACACTGTACATGAATATGTTTTTAACTTTTGGGGGAAAACTCAGGTAATGAAGAACATTTTGATTTTAAAAGCTTAGATTCAAATAAGTGGTGAATTAGGAGGAATATGTTAAACACTATGGCTGTTACGAATGCAACGATACAGGATTAAGTAATTGTGCAATAAAAACCATAGTGCAATATCTCCTAAAGCTGGGAGAGAGATCTGGTTAATGAGTCTTTTTGTTTTTCCTGAAACAGTATCCCTGCTACACACAGCCATTTTAAGTTGAGAATTGTACCCCAAGTTTTCAGATTTTTCTGTGCGTTCTTTCAAAGTGAAATTAAATCAGATTTATAGTATAAATTATTTTTACTGAAAATGATAATCCTTTGTGGATTTCAGAAGTCATAGTGGAGATATTCGACATTATCAAATTAAGAAAAACCACTTGGGACAATATTATGTGGCAGAAAAATATCTCTTTTCATCTGTTCCTGAACTCATCGAGTATCATCAACACAATGCTGCAGGTAATGCATGCAAGGTGATAAGATTTTACAACTGATGATCTGAAAATCCTTAGGACTTTGAGAGACTGGAAATCACTCTTCCTCTAATACTTTCCTTATGTAAAGAGATACAAGTTTTTCTATTGCTAATGAATTTAAATATGCAATGATCCCTTCTGCCAAATCACAGCTACAGTGTGCATACACCATGGGGAAAGTGAAGCTACCAAACTCATCTACATGTATTAAATGAATTTTACAAAGCTAGAAGCCTAATGTATTAAGCTGCTCTGTATTCTCTTGGTTCATATTTGACTGAATGGGACTTGTATGAAATTGGATCATGATTCTTTCCTTATCTACAATAGGACTTGCATGCATGCAATTTAATTGAAGCAGAAGCTATGCTATGCACCAGCAGGCAGCATTCTACTGATTTTACTGGCAAAACCCCCCCACCTCACAAACAATCAAAGGCAGGATTAGGGAGCACAAGGACTCTAACACTGGTTTGCAGCCTATCAGAGTTAGCCACCTCTAATTGTTGCCTAACAGCAGCCTTTTATATTTTTTAGCATTAAAAAATGCCCTTCACCTTGGTTCTACGGATCATTTTAGTACAACATAAAGTGTTTGTACCCTGAATGAGTGTAGATGGGCAAACACACAGAAATCCCTCACACTAGTGAGGAAGGACGATATCGGAATGGACAGAGCCTTTTGCTGGAGGGAGGAGGATTGTAGGAAACACACAAAGTAGAAGAGGACCTGAAAGTATCAGTGGAAAGAACAAATGAACGCGGGGACTCCTTGGTGAGGAATGTACTTGCTGGTACATTTGGCTCATGAATTCAAAGAAAATGAATGACAGACACAAAAATATTTGTTGCAAAGGGAAACAATCCTAATAAATCATGCTGCAAGAGACGGCTTAGGTGGGTGATATAGTATTGTAGTACTCATTTAAGATCACTAACATTGTACAAACAAGCAAAAGTATCACTTTTGATTGTATGAAAGTACTTTTGTAGTCAGGCCCCTATTGAATAGTCTTCCATTATTTCTTCTCACTGTAGTGTTTTGTCCAAACAAGCTGTAAGAAAAAGTAACCTCAAAAAATAAGAAATTTACATCAGATTCCAAATGGTTTTGTTTGAGAAGAGATACCATATAGCGTACTTTATAATGGAGTAATTGGTCAACAGAATATTGTTGCTTTGTCCCCTATAGGTCTTATCTCTCGTCTCCGACATCCAGTTGGATCAGCTGGATGTTCTTCAACAGCAACATCAGTATTGAGTTATGGTAAATTTTTTGTTTTCTTTTAGTGGAAATTTAGCTATCTGCCTAGGCAAGAATTTATATCACATTCACCTAGCTAATAATTAAGTTGTATGTACAAAATTTCCCAGTAAAGAGAAACATACAAAGAGCCGCATATTTACCAGAAACAGACGCTAATTTCCTCGTAAGGTCTCAGTACCAAATGAGACACCTGACTCAAGTCCTTCTGTTCAGCAACTGTTGTGCTTCTGTTACAACCACCAGTGCATTTCTGAGCTATCTAGACGTTCCTAAGACTCAAATACACATTTAATAGGTTTTCAAAGGCTATTTACTTTATTAAATGCTTAGGAAATAAAAATTAATATTATTTATGGGGAAGATTTTCTTTGTCTGTTCTGCAAATTTTAGAAATAAGAATGAAATCTTACATAGTATTATAGAAAACAAGCAATAAGTGCCCATTTTGTGTATATAGATCAGGAAGTTCATAACATCTGGTTGATAATAGGAACCTCCAAAATTTAGTATCTTTCGTGTTCCCATGAATCTCAGGGTTTAGTATTTCTGAAAGGTAGAATTATTGTGGTTATTACAGTAGAGGCAGCCAGTAACTAGTTCTGTAGCTATACTGTCCTTCTGGAACTGGTTCAGAGATAAAAACACCATATATGATAATGCCAAAAAAGTTCTTAGATGTAATCAAAGTTAAAACCTGCCTTTTCTTCAAGCCTCAGACATTCTTATATAAACACTACTCACATTCTACAACTGCGAAGTAATGTTCACATATAAACTTATACGAGCATGTGGAATTTTTCAGATATCCAAAACTCATGCTATAGCTGATGAACAATTGTGATGTTTTGCTGCATACATTAACTGCAAAAAGCAAGGCATGTCTCCTGGAGCACAGTTCAGGAAAGCTGGCCTGACCATTGTAACATATTGTGTTGATTTTATAGAGGAGTGGGAATTAAACCCATCTGAATTGGTGTTCATGAAAGAACTTGGGCGCGGGCAGTTTGGAGTTGTTCACCTCGGTAAATGGAAAGCCACCATCAAGGTTGCCATCAAAACAATCAGTGAAGGTGCAATGTCTGAAGATGATTTCATCGAAGAGGCCAAAGTGATGATGTAAGTACAAAAGCTTCCATACTGGCAGTTGACATTGAGATGACCAAGAAATAAGTATAAACTAATTCCACTTAAAACATGCAGACAAACCAGTTTGATGGGAATGGTGGATGTGCAGAACAGCAAGGCTGCTTTAAAGCACTGAATTGGACTGACACAGATGCTAGCTGCACCCATTGTCAGGGTCTTTCTTTAGGGAATCCACTGCTTTGTGCTATGGAGCTGAATGGAGAGTAAATGTGCTGATAAATAAATGTGCTCCTACAATTATTTGTTCATCCATAATCAGGTTCCTTTAGGACCACTGGCAGAGCTTGTACCTAACTAAAGCTTTTGAGAAACTATATTACTATTTCTGCTAATTTTGCAAATTAGGAAAGTATCCAGACCAGGTCTTGGCACAGCCCAGAAGAGAAGAACCCTCGCAGGGTCATGTCCTCTGCCTGAAAGCCAGGCATAACTAGACCTTTCAATTTCACATCATCTAAATCAAGCTTTGCATTCACTCCATTTATATAACTGATGAACAATTATAAACTCAAAGAGTGAAACTTTTGGGAGAAATTGTAGGCAGACAACTCTGAGGCCAGTTGAATGGAATACTGTTTATCAAGTACTAAAAGTATTTTTCAAAACCATCATGAGAACCAATGGTCTAGTTACCTGCCAAGAACAAATGCTCACCTGTCTAAAATGTGATTTTAAACAGGAAACTTTCCCACTCAAAGCTGGTCCAGCTTTATGGAGTGTGCACACGTCACAAGCCTCTCTACGTTGTGACTGAATTCATGGAAAATGGCTGCCTGCTCAATTACCTTCGGCAAAGGCGAGGCAAACTTGGCAGGGACGTGCTGCTGAGGATGTGCCAGGATGTGTGTGAAGGGATGGAATACCTGGAAAGAAATAACTTTATTCACCGTGATTTAGTAAGTGCAATAGGTTTTCTGAAGTTCTTGGTAAATATTGGCAGTATTATGGGACAGGACTAATGTGTTCTGTAGGACTTCAGCCCTGCGGAATCTAATAAGCCAACAATGTTTTACTGCCTGTAAACCAAAACTTTTCAGCTGTTCTTTTGTCTGTGGTCAGCTGGAAAAACTACTTGGTAATTGAGAAAAGTCAGAGAAAATTGGGATACTAGCATGGAGCAGGCTGGCCTTAGGACATTGCAATACAAGTGTATTATGCAGTGATCACAATACAACCAAAAATCACATCAATACAAAAGGTCATCAACAATGAGGATTTTGGGTTTTTTTTAAAAAAACCTTTTTCTATCTCCATTTTTTCTGCTCCCTACTGCCTTACCTTGTTGCTGGGATATCTGGAGGGCTTTTCTGCCCTACCCCTCATACGCAGGGAACCACAGGAGATCAGCTTGTTTCCTTCCTCTCTGCTTTTTGTTCAATGCTCACATCTGAATGCAGAGAGAAAATCGTCCTGCTCTCCTCCCTGCACTTCTGAAGAAATGTAAAATCTTCAAAATTTCCAAGGAGATCCTGATTTCTGTAATGAAAAAGCCATAAAACATTTTGTCTCTTAATGCCAGTGTTCAGGAAAGTGTCTACTTGGATAACTAGACTCTGCAGCATAAAATTTCTTTCATTGTGCAGGAAGGTGTAAAATTATTGCAATTAGTACTATGAGCATTTAAGCTGATATATGGAATATGTGTCTAACTACACAGTAGCAAAATATGTTTGTTGACTCAGAGCCAGAAATTCACTTACATTTTTGAGCAAGACACTGATCTCCTTTTAGAATATAAACAGTATGAACTGAAACAAAAATAATTAGCTGTTGTATTTTGCTTAAAATGCTTTAGCACAGACTTCAGATATGTTTCTCTCATTTTCCCCAGGCTGCAAGAAACTGTTTAGTCAACATGGAGCACATCGTTAAAGTATCCGACTTTGGTATGGCGAGGTACGAGGCCATTGACACATGTTTCGTGAGTACCTATTTGCAGTCAGCTGCAGCATGACCTTGAGTTAACCCCATTGCTTGCTTCGCTGGTGTGGGGAATCCCAGTGCAGTCAAGTTTTGAATTCTGATGAAAATTACAACGTTTCACTGCTGTACCATGAACTGGATGTCATGTCCTCCTCTTGCTATTGATGAGTGTAAGATAGGTAAACAAACCGCCAGGTAAACTTCAGAAGTATTTATGGACAGAGAAATGCCCAGGGCGCACAGGGCTGCCAGGAGCTTGAAGAAAAAATTCCCCAACTTTTCCGAGCAGTGGAGAGGACAGAAAGGGGAGGCACAGATTCGGGTGCTGGTGCTGACCTTTCCAGGCAGCAGCAGCTGAGTAGGTCAGGCAGGAGGCAGGGAGGAGCAGCAGGGTGGGCAGGAAGCATGATTTGTGCTGCTCTGGCAGGGATGTGGTTTTTCTGCTTAATGAGAGAACCAGCCAAAGATGGGGAAAGTGAACACTCAGACAAGCACAGGCCAGAGAAACGTAGCTTTGCCCTCACAGACTTCCTCCAGAGGAAGCTGAGTTGACCAAATGACTAACTGCTACCCAGAGAATTGTCTCACTCCTTCCTTCTTTCCCCTTGCAAGCCCAGCATAAAACTCTCCACTTCTGTGTTTTACTGGCTGGTTTTTCTTTAGGATTAGCAGACTGAATTGGATCACTTTAGAGGCAGATGAACTTGAAAGGCAGTGCGTGGACCTGAGCAGGAGGTGGTGGTGACATTCACCTTGCGGCTGCAAGTCATTAGATCAGCACAGCCATGCTGCTTACCTTTATCTTTGGTTTTGCCTCCTGTTTCTAACCTAAGGTTGACAACACCCCAGCAGTTCATAGCTATATACTTGTTTTTCAAAAAGCCGTCCCATACCATGGCAGTGCCCGCTAGTTACACTGCTCCCCAAAAGGGTAAGGTCAGTATCAGGGGTCTGAACCCATCCAAATGCACCAGAAAACACGGGAAGAAACCAAGGGGCTGTCAGGGTCCAGACTGAGAACAATGGATCTTAATGGCTCACTGTTGCTCAGTGGTGTGGCTCTAGGACAGGCACTCACTTTCCCGGGAAGACCGTGGAGAGGTGGCAGGAACACAATGTAATTATTCAGAGCTCACACAACTGCCACTGCTGGTTATTTCATATGTTCCTTACCCAATAACTCCGCATCTTTCTGTGCCTGCACCAAAATGAGAAAAGGAGACAAACAGATGTTTTCTTTCAATGTGACCTCCTTTAAAAGGTGCTCTAAAAGGTGCCAATGCATAATGCCTTCTGTGAGAACAAATGCTGTGTAGTGCACATCTGTCATCTGCTTAGAAACATTAATATAGGCAAAATGTGCACAGAGCTTGTATGTATGTAGGGGTTAGTCTAGTAGCCTTTTAAAATGTTGCCCTATAAATGCCTGCATCAGGCACATAATTTGATCTTATCTGGGAGGTCAGCTCCTATAAGCTTGGGCAAAGAAGATTAGTTTTCCAGTGCACCTGCAAGAGCTGTTGCCTTCTATGTGGTGAATGTTTCTTTCTGTGTTGCTTCTGTAACAATGTGCCAGGTACTAGAGAAGTTGGGCAGTTATGAAGTGTAGCCCTCTACCAGTAGTGTCTGCGTACAACAAGTTGTTGAAAAGGTGGGCTCTTTTAAAAAGAGACAATAATTATTTATTACTGCTGGTTTTCCTGCCCATGGTGAAGGGATGTGTCCTATCCATATACGCCCAGAATATGACAATAACAACCATCCTGTCAGTCTTATGGATAGTATTAAAATATTTTATTCTAACACACTTCTCATGAACAATTAAAATCATTCATTTAAACAGGAATCTTTTTAAGTGCATAGCTCCCAGTGTGGGTATCTGTGTACATTTTATACTAAATTAGTGATACCATTTCCTTGCTTCTAAATTGACACTGTATTTTTATGGCATTATAAATCGTCCGTGGAAATGTCGCCAGAACTGCTTGCCCTTTAACTATCATTCAAATATATGCTGTCTCCTGTTATTCTTTAGGTATGTCATCGATGACGAATATGTCAGCTCTTCAGGTGCCAAGTTTCCAGTCAAATGGTCATCTCCTGAAGTCTTCCATTTCAAAAAATACAGCAGCAAATCAGATGTCTGGTCATTTGGTGAGTTGATTAGGGGAATGTGCAACATACTGTGTTTCCCTAAAACTATTGATGTGATTTAGGAAAGCATAACTTTTTACTCATGCTACCTATCTTAAGCTTTAGTCCTTTCCATTTTTAAGCTCTTGCCTATATTGGATGAGCATGTTTTTCAATAGAGAGGCTCTGTGCCTAAAAACTAGATTTTGAATGAAATATGCATGCTTGGTAAGTCCCACATTAGACAAATGTATTTCATCTCAGTTTCATGGACTACCAACTTAGCTGACTTAAAAGACAGCAGAACTCTGTTAGTTGAAAATGGTTTTGGTTGCCTCTCTTCCTTCACCTCAAGTTGCCCATATTTTCATGCATTTTTCAACATACAAATAATCAAGAGTGGGTTTTGTTCTTCTAGTGTTGTTAAAGAGCTTGTGGGTTTGGGATTTTTGTTTTGTCCTAAATATTTTGATTCACATCTAGGTGTACTGATGTGGGAAGTTTTCACAGAAGGCAAAATGCCTTTCGACTGTAAGTCAAATTCTGAAGTTGTCTGTGAGATTTCTCAGGGTAATCGACTTTATCGACCACATTTGGCATCACATAATGTGTACAAAGTCATGTACAGCTGCTGGCACGAGGTTTGTTGCCCTTTTTTTCCCTTTCATACTACTTTAATTTATTATTTATTTGTAATGTGCATATAAAAGCAATCTTTAAAAATTGAAGCATTAAATCCTTGTTTCAGATCTGTGGCATTCTCAGTATCTCTCACTATGCTTTTCACAAGCCACACTGAGGTTTACCAGCCTCTGTTTCTTTTGACTGCTGCATCTAATAAATATAAAGCACATCATCAGTACAACAGGTCTACACCATCCCTGGTTTTGAATACCCCAATATTGCCTCGCTTCTCTACTGCATTAAATATAATACCTTTTCCACACCTCTGTATCATGCATAGCTTTCTCTGACTCTGCTCTGAATTATAACCATAACACATTCATATGCAAAGTGGGTATGCCCACTAAATGAGGATTTTAAACCCCATTTTTCAGGTTTACATCAGTATCTGTGCACATCACTACACCTCCTAGGCTGGACCCCTTTTACCCTCTCCACTCTTAGTACTTGATGTTCTTTCTCCATTTCTTCAGCATTTATTTCTTTCTTATATTGGTATCAAAACATTGATTTTATCAACTTCTCCATCTGCGTAATCGCTTAAGGTCCCTCCTTCTCTAGTATCTACAGGAAATGAATCTTTCATTTTAGATAAAAAGTACTTTCAGAAGAGCTTTGTGTGCAATGCTTTCATTTAAACAGGCAGGCACGCACTGAGAGGAGCTGGGGAACCTTGTTGCTAAATTGTCTCCATTATCCTACCTCTCATGTCTTGCCCATCTTTTAAAACTATATGAAATTTTTAAAGCCTGAGTAAAAAAAGCTTGAAACTGAAATCTAAACTGCATCTAGCTTGCTTGCTTACTGCAAACGTCCATCGGGATGCCAGCCAGCAGAGAGAGGATGGGGAAGAAGTTCTCTCTTCTGTCTGCTGTCAGCCAGGTGTTTGTTCCATACTGAGCTGCAGTACATCAAACATTATAGCAGGGAAGACCCTTTTTCTACAACCCAGGAAACATTGCTGAGTATCATGGTTTCCTGAGATGTAGGGCTTTCCAGCGACCTTTTTACAGGGGAGAAATCCCATAAGAATTCTGGTCCAGAATTGAAATAAATAGAAAGAAATTTTAGGAATGCTTGGAAAAGTGGCCATGTTTATGCTGCTGGTGTCATGTAGAACAGATGATTTTTCCCCTCAAGTGATAAACTTGATCTTTTCTTCTGTATTAATAAAATAAAATGTAATTTTTAAGTGGTAGCTCATATGAACTTGTAATCATCTTCTCGAGTCTGGTACTATAATTGACCAATCCGCTAACGTAAATTTATCCTCTGCTTTTCTTTTCAGAAACCTGAAGGACGTCCTACTTTTGCAGAGTTACTAGAGACCCTCACAGATATAGTGGAGATGGGATAATCAGAGATTTTATACCAATATAGTGTCCTAGATTACAGTGTAAAATGTGCCA